ATGCATGTAAGTAACTTTCAAAAATTTTGCGACCCATTCTCGGGGGACCAGTACTTCAAGAAAAAGGACATTTAGAAGATATTGCTTTTAGGATTACAGTATGCAATCGAAGCTCAGTTACTTGAAGGTAGGTCAATTTCTATAAATTCACATTCCTTGCAAAACTGCTCTGTACTTTCATCTTTAATTCTGTCCTTTCTGAGTTCGGATTCCCAAGTCTTGGAGACTTTTGCAATCGAAATTAGTCAGACCATCGATTTTCTTATATTATACCTATGATCACTTCATGTCGAGTTCTTGGCTTTCGAGTTTGGATATGTTCTGTTCCTCTTTGTTCTTGCATGTTACACAAATTATACCATTAGTTTGTTCTATATACCTTGTTTGTTGAATGTTGAAAACGATGAGTTTATGTTTTCGTGTGATATTGCATTTATTTACGCCAGACTTTGAACAAACTGGAAAAAACACTTCCTCTGGTTATAAAAAAATATACCTAAAAAAGTAAGCACCAGAGTATGGTACGGACTAGATCTAACATTAATTGACCCACCTTCGAGGAACAGACAGTCCTCACGTCTCCTTTTTCTTTTCTCAGTATTACTCGACCATGCATTTGCTGTACCCAGCTCCTGTAGAGTTCATTTTTCTCATCATCCTCTTGTACTGTCTGAAAAAACCTAATACGACTGAGAAATCTAGGGCTAGAAAGTACTGAAAAAAACTTACACAGCTAGTGAGTATAACAGTGCAGCCGATGTTTGCGAGATTGTTAATGCGATTTGTTATAACCGTCATGATAGCTGTTCCTAAATCCACATGATGTGTGAGTATGAATCTTTGGAATGACGTGATCAGAGGTAACGATGGCTGATCAAAAAAGTGTCGCCACTGCTCATTCAACATAGCAAATCATTAGTGGTATTCGTATTGCCACGATTTCACACAAATTTGCTGCTTTCTATAATATTGGGACGGGATGGATAGGAAAGTCCTTAATTTCACTCAGCAGTCTATTACATAATAGCTTACTCAAAGACCTCCCCTTGAAGCAAACATAAGCACGAAGACGCCTGGGAAACTTCGTACGGTAGCAGAGAGAAACTCCACGTCAATTTCCTCACATGCAGTCTTAAAAGACATTGCAGAGACTCCACATTCTTGTATGCGTAGCAGGCTTTGGCCTCAAGAATGGACCAGATGCTGTAGACGAGAGGATTCGGATAGAGCGAATGCGGCGCCATACTGCGGGTTTGTGGTCCTTGACGACGTTAAAACCGTTGAGACTTGCCTGAACAACCTTCGCTTTCGTCATTTTGCTGGAAGATGCTTCCCAGATATGCAGCAGTGTCTATTT